CTAAGAATTTATGTTCCGCTTTGACGGACAGACGTTGCCCGTTCAGTCGAATGTCAGGTTCAGAGTGCATGCCTCTCTTTCGAGAGAACAAGACACACGTGCTTTTTTGTGGGTTAAGTCGAAATCCGTTTTCATCTGCCCATTTGGAGACCTTGTTTAAGCCCAGCTGAACCTGCCGCTCACACATTGCCAATTTGCATGACTTGAAGCCAAGCTGAACGTCGTCGACATATGTACAATAGAACATACTGTGGGGGATGGACAAGTACAAAGAATTCATTTTGATAATAAAAAGTGTGCAACTACGCAAACCACCTTGTGGCACGCCTGTTTCCTGGACAACTGTTTGGGAGAGAACACTGCCCACACGGACACGGAATGTCCGGTTTGACAGGTAACTTTCGATTATATGAAACATTTTTCCGCGCACACCAAGGTGGGACAGATCTCTTAGAATTCCAAAACGCCATGTTGTATCATAAGCCTTTTCGATATCGAGGAACACAGAGAGAAAATATTGTTTATGGACGAAGGCGTCTCTGATCTGTGCCTCGATACGAACAAGGTGGTCTGTGGTGGATCTGCTTTCTCGAAACCCGCACTGAAATGGGTCGAGCAAATTGTTTGTTTCAAGGATATATACAAGTCGGCAGTTTATCATTTTTTCAAAAAGTTTACAAAGGCAGCTGGTTAGTGCAATGGGCCTATAACTTGAAACTGAGGAAGGGTCCTTGCCCTGTTTCAAAATAGGGATAACAATAGCCTCTTTCCAGGAAGCAGGGATGGTGCCTGAAAGCCAGATAGCATTGTATAGAGAGAGTAAAGTTTTTCGCGTTTCGAGCGGCAGGTTTTTCAACATTTCATATGTGACACGGTCGTAGCCTGGAGCGGAATTATTGCAAGAGTTTAGCGATGTTTGTAGCTCAGCTAAGTTGAAAGGTTGGTTGTATTCCTCGTAATTTGAGCACTTGGATTCTAGTTCCTGCTTTTCTATCTTTGCTTTGTGTCTTTGGAAAGCTTCAGTGTAGTGTGACGAGCTAGACACCTGCTCGTAGTGTGCACCGAGGAAGTTCCCTTGATCTTCCAGGCTATCACCCTGTGTGTTTACGAGTGGGAGTGAGTGTACTTGTCTTCCTGCTACCCTACGAACCATGTTCCAAACTTTAGCCTCTTGTGTATATAAATTTATCCCTGATAAAAACTTGTGCCAGCTTTCTTTTCTGGCCTGCCGACGCGTTCTCCTGCCTCGAGATTTTATTTTCTTAAAGCTCTCAAGGTTTTTCGCTGTCGGCGAGTTCCACAGCAACCTCCATGCCCTGTTCTGTTCCTTTCGCGCATTCTGACACTCAGTGTTCCACCACAGAACGTGTCGTTTGCCGGGCAGTCCAGATGTTTGTGGAATGCACTTGGTTGCTGCGTCAGTAAGAAAAGCTGTGAAGTACTGCACAGCTTCATCTATGCCTAACCCGCAGATGTCAGTCCAATTTAGGTGAGTAAGCTTTTGAAATTGTTCCCAGTTGGCTTTGTTTACCAGCCATTTGGGAACATGTGGAGGACATTCATTTATTATTGGTGTACTCAAAACTAAAGGGAAATGGTCACTTCCATATGGATTATTTATGACTTTCCACTGAAGTAATGGTATAAGTGAAGGAGATGCGATACTGAGGTCTATGGAATAGTAAGTTTTGTTGGCAAGGTTATAGTTTGTTGTCTCTTTCCTATTCAACAGACAAGCACCAGATGAAATGAGGAATTGTTCAATGAGGCGACCTCGGGCATCACAGCGAGAGTCACCCCACAGACCATTATGTGCGTTCAGGTCCCCAAGGCCCAGATAAGGTTCAGGTAGTTCGTCTATTAAAGACTGGAATTGAAGTTTTTCGAGACGGTGGTGCGGAGGTATGTACAAAGAGCAGACAGTGACAAGTTTGTTTAGAATAACTGCTCGGACAGCCACCGCCTCGAGAGAAGTTTGAAGGGGTAAGGGGTAATTGTGTGCATGCTATACCTTGACTTACTATAACCGCTACACCACCAGATGGTAGCATGGCATCATCTCTATCTTTTCGAAAGATTATGTAGTTACGTAAAAAGTTTGTGTAAGTTCGTTTTAAGTGTGTCTCTTGTACACACAGCACTCTTGGATTGTGTTTATGGAGGAGTTCTTGTAAGTCATCGAGGTTTCGAAGAAGGCATCGGATGTTCCACTGTAATATTTCTGTCTGCATATTTAAACAAAAGAGATGCTGCTGTGTGTACAAAGAGTATCCTGTGTTGGAGTGAGCTCATTAATTCAGGTGGCAGGACGGTCGTCCGGCCCCGTTATTGGTTTTTTGTTTTTCTTGGCACGCTCCAAGGAGGCACGCCGCTCTGTTGGTACCAAGGGTACCGTTGTATCCATTGCCTCCTCAGAGGCACTGGATGCCCGCACATGCGAGCTGGTGGTTCGGATTTTAGGCCTCGCCTGGTGAGGGGAGGCCTTGAGACCGGAGGACCCTGGAGTCTCCGACCTCAATTTGCTTGAAGGCGGAGTAGACTGAACTACTGCCGCCTTGGGGGCAGGCGCCACAGCCGATGGCTCGCTCTGCACTGGCCGAAGGGGTGGCGAGGGCTGGTGCGGCGTTGCCCCCTGACGCGCCGCATCAGCATGTGTTATGCCGTAAAATGGCGACACTCTTCGTCTTGCTTCTTTGAATGTGATGTTTTCTTTGACTTTAAGAGTGATGATTTCTTTTTCTTTCTTCCAGTTAGGACACGAACGCGAATACGCGGCGTGTTCCCCGTCACAATTCACGCAGTGGGGCGTAGTAACACAGTTATCAGATGGGTGGCCGTGGCTACTACATCTTGCACAAGTTTCCTGACCACGGCAGTTCTGCGAGCCATGACCAAATCGTTGACATTTATAACACCGTCTTGGATTGGGAATGTAGGGACGGAGAGATAGTTTGATGTAGCCTGTGTCTATAGATGAAGGTAGTGTGCTAGATGCGAAGGTGAGTAATAAATGTTTGGTAGGTATTTCTTTGTTGTCTCGTCTGATGACGATTCTTTTCACATCTGTGACATTTTGCTCTTTCCACCCTTCAAGCAGTTCCTGTTCAGACATTTCAAGAAGGTCTGCTTCTGAAACAACTCCACGTGAGGTGTTCATTGATCTGTGAGGTGAAACAGATACTGGGATATTACCAAATGCTACGAGACTGCCAAGTTTTTCGTAGTGGTGTTTTTCAGGCACCTCAAGGAGAAGGTCTCCGCTAGCCATCTTTGTAACCTTGTATCCTGGGCCAAAGACTTCAGTCAGAGATTTAGCAACAAGAAATGGAGATATGGCTCTGGCTTGTTTTGTTGGGTTTTCGCTGTGCACAACATGGAATTTGGGAAAGCATTGTCTGGGTTGGCTGAAAATTGATATGTCATCGGTGCGTCCCCTCTTAGGCGGAAGACGATCTAGGAGACGGGGAAATGCAGGTGTTCCCATAGTCGTGTACTTTTTTTCGGCAGCAATGGCGACCACCCACCATGGAGTCCAAACAGGGGACGCTGAAGCACTTAATAGCATAAGGCTGCAGACGCCAGCCATACATTGCCACTATAACCAAATATAACTACTCAAGGTTGAGTAATTACACAAGGTTAACCCTTGCCGCCAGGAAAAATCGGAAGTAAATGGAACGGAGAAGAAGACAGGACAGATTTAAAGACGAGAAAAGACTAAGATGTAGGAAGAGAGAGATAGGAAAAGGCGACTGCCGATTTCCCCTGGGTGGGTCAGCCCAGGGGTGCCGTCTACGTGAAGCCGGGGCCAAAGGGGTGTGTTGCCTCTGCCGGGGGCCTTAAAGGTCCAATCACCCAGCATTGGCTCAACCCCCAGGATCCCCTTTTCCCCGGACACGGCAAAGCCACGCACGGCTAGGCGTGGGAGGGAGCCGAAACTCCGCCGTTAGCTCGGGTCCGTGGTGTCGCTACACACCAAACGCCTACTTGCGCAGGCGCCCCTGCGGGGATAACGTAGGAACAACTTCTGTATCAGCTGGTAGTTGCACAATGCTTCAGTGCAAATGTTCGTGTCCTCTATGAAGTGATAGGCTTCACTGTTACTGGCAGTAGCGCAAAGCATTGCAGGTAAGGCAAAGGAAAAGGTTAAAAAGAGGCTTCATGGAGACCCCTCACATTGTCAGATGAGAGGGTCCCCACAAAGCAGTCACATATATTTTTGAACAAGACTGGTTACAACAAGATTTTTGAAAAAAAAGACGGTAATTACTGGTAATCACTTACAGGAAATTGTGATTGAATGATCCAGAACATAAATCTCAAAAAATGTAGTCAATTGAATATATTACCAAATTACAATAAAACGGAATTGATCAAAGTAATCCATTTTTTTTTATGCCTTACAAAGAGCTCCAAGGCAGTTTCATCAGCACCAAGCCGTAAAACTGATTTGAGGAACTCTTTCGTCTTAAATCGATGCATATGTTGTTACCTACTTGCTGGTATCCCTTAAATCAGTTGGACTGCACCTTTAAAATTTGCATCCTTTTATGCGATGTTATTGCCCAATTCAAATTCACAAGCATCTTATTCGTCGAGTGCAGCATCAAAACTTTAATGATCCCCCCTTCATATATCATCACCGTGTATACAGGTTGCCCATCCTTGAAGTGTACGCTTCAAACCAGTGTTTTTTCAACACTCTTGACTAGCCACAAATTGGAGATGCCAAATGGCTTGGCACGGCTTTTGAAAACCAAAGAAGCATAATGAAGGAGAGCAGCTGAATGCACAGTTGCCATACTGCTAGTATTACCTGTAACTAAACCCGCCTTTACTAAGGACCTTGTACTGACTCACGCGAGCTAATTTCAACGCTAATGGCAATGCAGCCAAGTTGTTGAGAAGCTCAGATCTTCTTTCCTTTAAGGTGCACTACAATACAGATATCGCTCGAAACATCCAAAACTTGGCAGCACAATCAGGAACCGTCGACTCACCTCTATGGTGACTTTGCAGGGACTGTTGGCTAAGATGACCAAACCACGACTGGTTATCTGCAAAAAGGCAGAACAAAACCTTTCCAAACACACCACAAGATATTGCTACAAACGAGCCGGACACGTTGAGAGTTGTGAACCGAGCTCCTGCTTTCATTCTTTTCAGTTGTACAGTAGAGCAGAAATAAGGAATCCAAAGGACACCGAAAAATCCCCACCCAGGCTCCAAAGCGAATGGTTAACCAGGGATGCTGAAATGTGCAGCCTTGGGTGCTTATCACGAGCTCAGGTCTACGGAAGTGTCTTGTGTCGTAGCTTCCGACTTTTCGTGAGGCTTCAAAACTTGGAAATCGGTGAAGTTAGCTTAGAGGATATTGTTACAATGAAATATGTTTATTTAGAGATGGGCCGACGAAAAGGGGTGCCGTACGGCACCGATACGTTCACAAGACAGACATTCTTCGTCCTTCTCCTTTTTATCCCGCTTATTGTGCTGGTGTAGCAATATTAAGAATGCATAAAGTATACTATGGGTAATGATTCATGATGTATCACATACCATCCGTGGCTATCCCAAGAAATGATACCTTCGGGAAGATATCCCAAGGAATATTGTTCCTAGCTGTACATGATGAGAAAATGTGAAGTGAAACAAGTGCAGGCGCAGAGAACTTTTGAGGCAGTGTACACGCAAACCAAACCTATATATAACAAAGTAATAAATAGAGTGTTAGAAAGACACTTTTATAACAAATTTTTGTATATAACAAACTTATTTTTGTATAAGCTACAAATTTGTTATACTGACCATTGAGTGTATGCTAGCACTGCTTCTTTAAAGTAGCTTCTGGTTTTCATTTCATGGTTTTGGTGCAGCTTGGCGCAAAGACAAGGATTTGTATGAAATCGTTGTTGTATGAACAAATTGATACAATTTTATGGGAAATCGTATCAAAAAGCTGTTGCGCCCCTGCAATGGGCACTTGTACCACGCATCATTATTGCAATATTTCAAGTTGTATTGTGAGCCATTTATACAGGACGTGTGCATTTGTAAAGCATGTGTCACTTTCACTACATTACCAAGCAGACGAAATTATTTTCAATGTATTCACAAACAGACACGTGGTCGTGTGGTAGAACATCCACTTGCCACGCAAACTGACCCGGGTCTCATTCCCACTGGAACCCAGAGATTTTTTTTTATTACCGTATTTACTCGCATAATCGGAGCACTCGCATATTAAGCGCACCCCTAGTTTGGTCGCGGAAAATACGATTTTTTTTTAATTCAGCGCATAATAGGCGCACCCCGAACTTGGCCGTGATCAGAAACGATTCTACCCACCAGCGGTACAGTTGGAACGCGGTCCCCGTACCCTGAAGAAAAAAAGAAGGCAAATCGACGAGAATAAAAAAAATTCGAAGTGCAACGACCTTACCAACGTGTTTGTCGAAATAAAACTTGAAAAAAAAAGCGTCCATGAGCGAAAAAAAAAACCGGCTGTTCCATAAATTACAGATACCCCCCAAATCGCCGCGCTTTTTGTCGCCGCGCTACAGCCGGTAAGATTAAGAGGCCGCCTGTGGAAATGCTGTGCGCTTGGATCGTGGAAGCGTGGCAGGCGATCTCCGATGAAGTCGTCAGGAAAAGCTTCAAGAAGACGGGTATCTCGAACGCACTGGATGCGAGTGAGGATGACATGTTGTGGGGTGCGGATGATTCGGACACCGAAAACGAATCCCCGCTCGGCAAGGGTAAATGTGTGATCTCCGACTCGGACTCCGAATAGGGAAAAGGAGGAACAGCTACGACTTTTGTGTAAATAAATTTTACGTGTGTGTGTGCAGTTGACGGCTCTCGCTTGTTCATTAAAAAGTACGTAGGTATGTTTGTTTTATGCTGAATTAATTGGTAAACGATAAAGTCGCCTTTTACTTGACAAGTGTGCAGATTTAAAGCGCGAGAACCGAGTTGAAAAAATTTTCGCAAATTTTACCCTGTGTAATTGGCGCACCCCTAACTTCGAGTCGGATTTTCTGAAAAAAAAAAGTGTGCCTATTATGCGAGTAAATACGGTATTTGTGTGATTTGCATCATTCTTGATTTTTTGGTGACGCATAAGACGATACTTTTTCGCTCACAACCAATAACACCGGAGTTTCTGCGAAACGTGCACTGTAACGCTATCACGTTAAAATCGCTTTCACTTATTTTCAGAAATGATGGTACAAGCTCAAAATTCACTTGTCACAGCCATTGTATCCACCACAGCTTGATGAGCATGTCGCACTTGGCTGTTACTGGGGCCACCGTGGGAGGCGACAACTCGTTCACGCATGCGCGCACCATCGCAATAAAAAGTTATATATTCGGAAAAAATATATACATATAGAGGGAGATAAACAACAAGAGAAAAGGCAGGGAGGTTTACCCGGCACATGCCCGGTTTGCTACCCTATGCTGGGGGAATGGGAAGGGGGCATAAAGATGAGAGAGAGGGGAAAGAGAAGAGAAAGAGAGAAAAAAAAAGGATTGTCAGTCAATCGGCTGGCGCGTATCCAGCGATGGCACTACACAAAAGTTAAAGATTGTCACGTAGGCCTGTAGTCCTCAAAAAGCACAAGACAGCTTTGACTGCTTTTTGAGCCGACGAAAGGCGATGACGGTGTTCCAGTAGCATCTGCACAGAAAGTGGCCGATCGTCCGATTGTCGCACTCCGTCCGAAAGCTTCTGTCTTTCAGAGGCAAATCGAGGGCAATGGCATATCAGATGGTTGATGTCTTCTTTGGTGCAGCAGACGTTGCATTCCGCATTGTCGGTCAATCCGATGAGGGTTCTATATGCTTTTGTGAAGGCAACCACCAACCAAAGGCGACAAAGAAGTGAAGCTTCACGTCGACGAAGTCCGGATGGAGGTGGAAGTTCCAGTCGAGGGTTTATTTGGTATAGTCTCGTATGTCTTATGCTTGGAGCGTTCCACTCCTGCAGACTCAGACTACGTACCAGATGACAAAGTTGCTTTGCAGCGTCAGTCCTTGACAAAGGAATCGGAAGGGTGTGTTCTTTTTTGTGCGAGCCGCCTTGTCTGCGGAATCATTGCCACTGATCCCACAATAGCCAGGAAGCCACTGAAACTTGACCTCGTGGCCTGTTTCTGTGACGTAGTGAATAAGCTTGACAACTTTGTAAGTTAATTGTTCATGGCAACCTCGTCGAAGGACTGACTGCATGCTCTGTAGGGCTGGTTTCGAGTCGGAAAACACAGCCCATTTACTCGGTCTTTGGGATTTGATGTACTCTAGGGCGCCACGCAAAGCCGCAAGTTCTGCCGCTGTGGACGTAGTGACATGTGACAGTTTGATTCGCAGAGTAATTCCTCTAGCTGGAATCATCATCGCACCACCAGAACCAGACGCTGTGGCTGAACCATCGGTGTATATGTGCACGTGGTTGTTGTACATTTCGTGTAGATGGCTCAAGCTCAATTGTTTTAGGGCTGATGAAGGCAAATTTGATTTTTTCTGTAATCCTGGAATTGAAACACGTACTTGTGGAAGTGTCAGGCACCACGGAGGATACACCAGTTTCTCAGCAGGCGTAAAACCTGACGTAAACGACGTATAATGAGCACAGACAATTGCATTAAATTTCGTGCGGGGCCTCTCAGTAGCACGGGTTGCCAAGTGGTTGGAAGGATTCCTAGCATGTTGCCTGAGGTACGTACGCATTGTTTCAATGGTGATGTGCGTCATGATCGAGTAGTCCTGTGCAATGGCAATTGTTTCAACTGTCGATGCGCAGCAGGGTAAACCATGGCTTATCCTAAGCGCTTGGGCTTGAATATTTTGGATTGTGCGCAGGTTCGTTTTGCACGTGTTAGATATAACAGGTAGGCTATACCGCAGGAATCCAGTAAATAATACCTTGTACAGCTATAACATAGACTCGACAGACATTCGCCAACTTTTCCCAGCAAGAAACCTGCAAAGTGAAGAATGGAAGTCAGCCGCTTTTTTACATAGTTTACATGGGGTGTCCAAGACAGGTTTCGGTCGATTACAACTCTCAAGAACCTGTGACTCTGGCTGCATGACACCAACTGCCCGTTAATTGATATGCCATAAGCGGACATTGGTTTTCTGGTGAAAGCCACGACTGCACACTTCTCACTTGCGATTTCAAGCCCTTGTTTGCGTAAGTGGTACGATGTCACTGATGCTGCCTTCTGAAGTCGAGCGCAAAGTTGAAGTCGAGTCACACCTGATGTCCACACACAGATGTCATCAGCATAAATGGAAAGTTGTACACTGCTTGGTTGCTTGCCAACTAGTTCAATGAGTGTTAGATTGAACAACGTCGGGCTTAGCACTCCGCCTTGCGGAACTCCTCGGCTGCAGCAATACTCGGGTGTCGGGCCATTCTCTGTCTGCACGTGAAATGATCTATTCTGTAGGTAGCTCTGAACCCACGTATATATTCTGCCACCGAGTCGCACTTCTTCTAGTGCGCTAAGAATGGTTTCGGGGGTGACATTATCGTATGCCCCTTTAACGTCAAGAAACAGAGCACCAGATAACCGTTTACAGGCCTTCTGGTGTTCTACATATGTCACCAAGTCAACTACATTGTCAATTGACGAGTGGCCTCGTCGGAACCCGGACATGGCATCTGGATATATTTCGCAGAACTCTAAGTACCATTCCAGACGCGTTAAAATCCTCCTTTCCATAACTTTTTCTACGCAGCTCGCGAGGGCAATCGGGCGTTAAGAGAAAATGTTCAAGGGTGACTTGCCGGCTTTGAGAAGTGGAATTAGGCGACTTGACTTCCATTCCTGTGGAACCATGCTAGTTCGCCAGGAGTCGTTGTACAGCTGCAAGAGTGCCTGCCGAGCTTGATCTCCTAGGTGACACAGAGCGCGGTAAGTGATGCCGTCAGGTCCTGGTGCTGAAGAACGTCTACACAACGTCTGTTTCGGTGTATCCATCTACACAAAGCAAGCACAGCCTTTAGTTCGTCCATTGAAAACGAAATCTCCATTCGGGGATCACG